ATTTGGCCACAAAACGGAAAAATGCCGAAAGCAGTTAATTTAGTTTCATTTTATAAAATTCGCACAATTATTTAAACTAAATTGTACGACATTTATTTATATTTATTTGGATTATTTCTTTTGAATTATTTGTTTCCGGCAATAATTTAATAACATATTTATATTGACAGCACGCCATGTGGCTTTCTTTAAATTTATTAAACAAGAATATAATACTAATATTTATTTTTATGAAATAAGTTGAATATTTAAATTATTAACTAATATAACGAGTACTATAACCTCTGCAAAGACTCCAAGTTTTTTTCGATTACTTAAAAATATTCCTCGGATCTCTATAAACACTAAGAGAATATTAAGTGAACACTAAGTGAACACTAAGTGAATACTAAGTGAATACTAAGAGTGAGCTTTATGTGGTTACCAAGTGAATGCTATGAAAAGGCTAAGTGAATAATAAGTCAATAATAAGTCAGTCTAAGTAAATAATGTGTGCATATTTTTGATTTGACCATATGAACAATATATGAATATATGAACATCACATTTCTATTAAATTAACATCTGTATTGGAATCAGCCGCAATATACTGAAATGCACTTAACTCTCAGAAAAAAAGATAAGTAGAATATATTAACGCAAGTATAAATAGTTTAGTCAATAAATCTGGTATTTCTCTATTAACTTATATACATCTATATTTAACAGAAGAAGATAAAGTGCTGTAAAAAGTATTAGTAGGTATTTTCAGAGCACTTTTCTACATCATTAAGGTACTTGCCGTACTTACCATAATTGATATATGGCCAGAGAAAAAAAAGATACAATGGTTAAGGGAAATTATATTATAATTTATTAAAATTTTTGAAAGTCCATTAAAAATATCTTCATAGGGCGATTATGTAGACAGTTATATGAAAAATGTTCGCGACAGTTGTCTGCTCTCGCTGATCTTAACAAGGAAAAGATATCGTGCCGAGGGTCAATTTAAAATAGTCAAATTCGTACTTTTAGTACTGTTTATATATTTTTTGATTGTAGCCTTATATTATTGATATTTTATTCTATTACTCCATTAGGAGCTTTAGGACACAACAAATTATAACCAACTGTCTCTATTTTGCTAAATTTGTCGAAGTTCGTTAAATGATTTTCCAGTTTCAATATTAATTGTTCTTAACCATGTTGTCATTGGCCTGCCTCTACGCCGGGTTCTTTGGGAATTCCATGTTGGCGCTGCGTGAGGGATATCGTCATAAGGCTTACGCTGGGTAGAGCCTATCCACTCATATATTCACTTTCGAATTTCAATATTAATAAACGTTTGGTCAGTTTGCATTTAGAGTTCTTTATTTGATATTACTTTTTGGCCACCATGTCTTCATTATGTTTCACAAGGAGCGGTTAAAGAAAGTTTGTAGTGGCTTTTTAATCTCCTTCGTTACAATCCAAGTCTCTGATCCGTATAACAAATTAAAAATATGATGCATATGCCTAATATTAAAAGATTTAAATTTATATATTATATATATATATCTGGAACAACAATCCCCAAGTTTTTATAAAAAGGTTTATACTAATAGTGTTTATAAGTAAGGCTATGTGTAGTAGTTCCACTCTGACTGAGGTGTATCTGGAGCTATAATAATAAAATACAGCTTTGTTCAGATTAAGTAGTTATAAAACAGAGTCCTCTGATAAAATAAAACTACATTAGATACAAATATAACTGCGTATCATTCTTTATGTGTGTTGTATATAAAAATATAAGAGAAGTAAAAATAAATTAAACTATATACTGAATAATAAAATTAAATTAAATAAAATTGAGTTTAGCAATAAAAATTTATATTTGAAATAATTGCCAAGAAATGTTAATGGAATCCGAAATTCAACCAATAGGCCATAAATCTACTTACTCTGAACAAAACTGCTTAAAAGTGGAATAATTCATTTGTATGTGTTTCTCTTGAATAGTTTGAAGCACTTTACTTAAACATACAGCTTTAATATTTAAAATTATTTAAACTTATATTTATTATTATTATTATTTTTGCAAAAAAAGCAATATATTTCATAAAAATATTAAATAATTTCTAAGCGAATATCTGTTAATGCGCTTTGAAGTTGTCATCTAAGAAATAAAAGTATTTCAACAAATATGCTAGACATTTCTATAGATAAAATTGATTTCACTTTATTTAAAGAATTATTTTGTATCTTAACAATTTATTTGCTCTCTGTTGAGTTTTAAAACATTTTAAATGAATAAACTTTTTGTTATTGAACTCCGAGAAGAGTAAACAGTCTGCAATTTTGTTTGTTTACAATTCTCTTTATTTACATTTATTTATTGTTTTTTTCTTCCACTTTTGTTATTTAAATATTTAATTTAAAGATTTTTTGAAAGCAATTATAGCAGCATTTTTATTTTGTCATAGCAGTTTGCTAACAGATATTAGCTAACATCAGTTCAAACAAACAATTTCATTTTAGTTGATGTATCCATCGCAAATGAGCAGGCAATAAAGAAATTAGCATTCACCTAATTACGAGTGTATGTCTGCCTATGTAGATATATGAATATGACGTAAACTATTATAAAGTTATTAGTATAATAAAAAACATATTAACTTTATTATTGTTAAAGAAAAGGCAGTTTTTTCTTGATTCGAAAGTTAAGAGTTGAGCACTATTCGAATCGTAGTGATAGACAAATGTCTGTTCAATGGAATATATCGGTAACAGTAATAACATTCTAAACCGAGCCGAAAGTGAAAGTTAGCAATTACCAGGCGGAATAAGATTTCTGATAAGTTTGAAAGGAGAACTCTTGACACAGCATATAGCGTTGCTTAATAAAAACTTGGTGTAATATCCCTTGCTTTGATGAAAAAAAATTTCCGTTTCAGAAATATTAACGAATAAAATAAGTAATTTTATTTAAAGAATAATAACGTAATAATCGCATGCTGGTATGGACTTAGAAGAAGAGTGGAAATTTTAATAGGGATATGCAAATCAACATAAAGCAAGCTCTAACCACAGACAATTTATATAAGACACTCAACATAACGTGACAGTATTAAGATAGACGGCTGAAGCTATGTCGCACATTTCTTATTAAATTTTGTTATTCAACTAAACATAAGTTTAATTTTTATTTTAATTAATTAAGAAAAAACTTGACCAATTAATTAACACTGTGTAAAATAAATGTTCAGTACAATTTAATAATTTTTACGTTTATTATCATCTCAGTTAAAGTTGTCGTTAATGTAACGCACAGTATCAATGACCCACAGTAATCCACAGAGAGTATTCCACACATATATATTTATCGTAGAGTGAATTCTGCAGTGACTGAATACAAGCCCGCCCGATTTTTTAATGTAAACCCTTTCGCAAACAAAGAACAGAACTATAAAATACCTGAGTGTCATTAAGGATATTCAATCTGTATAGCAAAGTCATTGCAAAGTGCACTAAATGCAATAATGCTATATTATTATTGCAGGAGTGCGATTTGATCTGTTGCACAATTTCAACATCAAAATGCAACAGCTGTTTTTGCAGTATACCACATCCATATGAGAAGCAACAGATGTCAAAACAGCTGTTTTTTCCCTTTTCGCTTCGTTGCAAGCATATATACTTGGGTTTAGTTATAGCAAGGTTGCAAGCCATTGCAAGAAACTTTGTGCATGTATTTTGTTGTTATCTATTGCATGCTGGCGCAATCTGTGCATTTCGTGCACCTTGCAATAAGTCAGCAAGATAGAGTGAATATCATTATTATATACAAGAAAGTCTTTCTTAACGAGTGAATAAAACTTCATGCACAGTAATCCATCGCACTATATGCGTTCATATCGAGAATTCTAAATTAATTTTAATACCCTTTAATGCTTTATTATTTTTTTTTTATTTTAGCTTGATATTATAGAATTTCATTCAAATAAAAGATAAAGATTTAAGAAGTTGCAATTCAATTGGGACATATAATGCGAATAAAGTTGTATTGTTTTCTAGGTTACAAACTATTTTGAAAGATTATTTATAAGCACTTTACATTGAAATATTGTAATAATCCAAAAACAATCTATTAATCAGCAATAAGTATTTATTAAAAACAGTAAATTTAAATAAATTAATAAAAATAAAAAATATGACACAAATAATAAATACTGATATTACAAACCATATGGCAATTATACTTTCAAAATTTTCAACAATCCCCTAAAAATATTTTTTTATTTTTAAATTCTAAAAAAATTTTCAATAATAACTTTCCGATAAGGAAAGATGTGAAATAGTGATCTCAATAAATTAAAAAAAAAATTTTATTAAATAGAACTAAAGTGTTTTGTTTTATATAAAATTAAATTAACTTAATAGCCAACAAAAAAAAAACGATTAAATTAAATAACTATCTTAAATTAAATCACTTAATTAACATTACAATTACTTTAAACCTAATTATTTGAATTATTATACTCATTGATAAAAAATTGTTCATGACTATTCATAACTCAAACCTCATATATGTATATAAATGCCTCTGTAAACAGGTATTCATATACTGAGTCTACGAGTACTACGAGTATGTGGTGGAATACATAAGAGACAAATAAAGACTATATCATCTATTAAACGTGAGTTTAAAGTTTCCATGCTCTTAAAAACAATTGTTAATTTACTAATTATATTCAACTTTTTTTCTACAAACATCTGGTATGTGGCATGAGTAAAACTTAATATACCCACTTATGGCGTAGCATTTGTTTAAACATATATGACATCGTATCTTGGCAGAAGTGTGATTCAAGTTATTTTTAAAATTAAAAATCGTGTTTAAATTGAACTTTTTTGTTTATGTCATGCTTTGCTTTGGGTTTTTTTTTTATTGAAAATTATGGAGCAGAAAGAATTCCCCCCAATTATCATTTCACACAGAACGTGAAAAATTTTGTATAAAAGTGAGAATTTTTATTGAAATAATTTAGTCAGAATTCATAGCTTAAATAATATACCAAAACGATGAGTTCGCGAAATTTGTGGAGTTTTAATTTGACAATTTTATTTTTAATTGTTGGTATTGTTTCGGTTTTGGCAGTGAGTGAACCTTGTCCGATAAGATTTAAGTGCTCCAATGAAGAGAAACCAGTATGGGCTTTACTCGACCAGGACTGTCAACTCTACAGAAATGAGTGTCATTTGAAAAATGCTAACTGCCAACGTCAAAATCGTTATGAACCTGGTAAAGTTAACTATAATCAAACTTAATACATGCGAGTTTCTGTGAATATTAATAACTGATCTAATTCTGAAACAGTTCTAGTTGAGACAACCAAAGAGAAATGCCAGGAGTATTGTGCAACGATATGTACTGCAGATTATAGGCCAGTCTATGCCGAGTACAGAGGCAAAGTACGTGAGTTCCCAAACGCTTGTGCTCTAGAGAGTCATAAATGCACTACTGGCGAAGGTGAGTGACAAACTTCATGGCAAACAACCATTAAGTTTATAATTTTATTAATTAAATTTATTTTTTTCTTTCAGCTTATGTCTGATATGTTATTAGCAATGATATAAATACATCTGTTAAAATTAAAATCAACACGTCATTTCGATTGCAATAGAGCTATTTACGTTGATATTAAAACAAAAATATTTGTTGTTATTATTTACTTAAATTATACTTAAATGTACAAATATTTGAATAAATTATTTATTCAATGTTTGTTTAATAAACTTAAAGTAATCTTTTTAAATAAATATTTTTTTATTTCTCCACTGCTTATTCAATACCAAATAAAAAAGTATATCTGACAAGATTCATTGGAATATTTTTTTAAAGTTCCAATATAGAATAACAATTAATAATATTAGCATAAAAATCGAATAGAATTAATGTGTAAAAATTAAACCAAATTTAAATCGATCATCTTTATACATATATACATATAAGTATATGCATATACTTTTATAATTACAATCTACATAATGAAGACAGTTCTTTGAGTTTATAAAGACTCCTATAAGACAGAAATGAATAAAAAAACAATAATCTTTGCTCTGTTGTATCATTAAAATTCAGAAATAGTTATATGACAAATCTGAACTATCTACTTACACAATTTTGGTCTATCATTTATGTTTTGTATTTATATACATATATACATACAAATGTATAAAATTTTGTAATTTGATAAAAAATCCAATGCATATATATGACGCACTTAGGTCAATAATTTTTTACGAATACTGTGTTTCATAGTGAACCACTTTCAATCGCGTGCCGGTATTTCAGTCTGAAATTTAAATAATGTCTTTAATTCAAATTTTATTGGATTGCTTAAAAGCTAGAGAATTAGGCTGATAGACACAGAAATTGATTTACAGAAACTCAGCGATTGTATTGAGAGAGATAAAACTATCAAAAGTAAAGTTTGTAACGCATTATTGGATCGGTTGTGTGTAGATATCAAGAAGGAATAACTACCATACTACATAATAAGCGCTGTTTTAGTAAGACAATGCTACGTATCATAAGTTAAAGAAACCGATATTTAAATTTCATTACAAGTTTTTAAATTTCAGTTTTGCTTCAGATATAATCCCTACTCTAAAAGGTTTATTTACTCCAATTAATCCAACTTTACTTGGACCGTTTCGAATTTAAATTTATACTCTGATCTGGTTCCCATTTACTACAAGCTTTTAGTGGACATCAAAACCTTGTGTTAGGAAGAGATCTGCTTGTAAGTGGAGAACTTTTAGGCAGATATTAAAAAGATGCCGCAGGAACTACAGAACTACAGCGACTACAAATTTTTTGCAGACATCAAACTCACAAAAAATGAAAGACTTTATATCTGATTTCAAGCAACACAACTTTTTGCAGATCGTAAAAATATGCTCTGGTGGTATTTGACTCAAATGAATAAGTCCATTTTTAATCTTTAGTGACTAAAAGCTTTTTGCAGACACTAAACCCAAGTTACAGGATAGATCTGCACTCTTAGCAATACAAATTGCAGCTAATATACTGCGAAAACGCTCCATAAAAAAATTTATACCTTCTTTGGTACAAACCTGAGTACAATATTGCCAAGTTTTAAAAGTTATATCTGTGTCTGCAATATCGGTAAAATGAGTTATAGATTCTTAATTCTTTCATTTCCCATAGAACTTCTATTAAGATATCTTGTTTATTTTTGTATCTTTATTATAATAAATGGCATCAAGTATTGCATACTTCACCTCAATTAAATTATACTTTCGAGCAAGTGATTGAAACACACAGGATCTTTTATTCATTTCAAATTTATATTTAATTAGGCATACAATCAAAGGTAATAACAAAAATACTAAGCCGCAACCAGGGCACAACAATATTAAATATTTCAAAATCATTTTATTTTTTGAAATTCTAAGAAATATTTCAGATAAATTTACTTAGTTACATAGGATATATTATGCCAAAAACCAAATATTAAAATTTACAAAAAACTCCCACATTTTCTTCCTATTAATCCTTCCTATTAGCAACATGCATTGAGTATATCAACAAATTTTGATGCTGTGGTTAAGCCTCAAGTATGTTGTAGCTATGGAATAATCGAAATAAAAGAGTGCGATAGACCGATAAACCGCAAAGATACAATTTATATATATGTATATGAAAATATTTAGCAATTTTTCTTGAAACAAAGGACTTCATAATAAATTGACTTCGACATTCATATGAAAAATGCAAAAATTCTAAAAATTAAAAATAAAAAAATTTTATACCTTCAAGGCTGAAATGAATCATGTTTTCTGAAAATCAACTACTATTTGGACATCAAACTAAAATATTTCTCTTCTACTCTAAGGGCAAGTAAAAGTATCTATTGTTTTGCCATTCTTCTTTTGTAGTTACAAATAATATACAAAAAACCAGTTGTCCATTGTGAAGCTCAAAACTGAGAGTAGGAAATTAAAGTGAGAGTAAGAGTAGGAAATTTGAATTTTCATTGGTTCAAAAAAATTGAAACTCTTTACGGAAATAACATTTAACATTTCATTTTTGAAAATTCTAATCTGTTCATCAATGAAGACATCTTAAAAAAAGTTAAATAGCATGTGTCTCCTAATAAAAGACGTACCGTTAGAAAGTTTGTGGCAAAAATGGGAATATCACATGGCAACCACACGAAATAAGTTTCCAAGAAATGTGTTCCAAAAATAATACTATTTGTTTCTTATACAAAGTAATGGTTTATTCATAGCACGGTTCGTATCAATCTCTTTTTAAAGCGGCATCCAAACTATTCTTAAGATATTATATCCTGTATTTTCTAAACTTCAAAATAAAAATACACAAAATGAAATTCATTTTTCAACAGTAGTAGTTGCAAAAAGGAAATCACACATAAGATACAACATCATATCACCTTTGCCATGAAGACACTATATGCATCCCAATAATATTCTTGAACTTCAAATAAAAGTGACATGCTTCTACCTATAAGCATGTCGTGAATATAGTTTCCTCAAAAATTAATTTTAATATTACCTAAGTTAATCACCAAAATGTATGTAATTGTTTTTTGAATCAGTTTTCATAATTCCTACAAGATAGGCTGAACAGAATACGTTGTCTTAAATGTGGTTGTCATGCATCAATAGCCTCAACTAACTGCAATCAGATCAGCAGTTCGGACTTGGTCTCTTTTAGAAGATACTCAAAATCCCATAAATCTTATAATTATCGAAAGACGCAATTTATTTCTCTGAATTCCTATACCACAATATCCTAAAAAACCTGTAAATCATCTAACCGCATAGATTTAATCTGTGTAATTGAGTCCCTATAACTCCACGTTAGCTTCATGGAAATACATAGTTATATATTTATAACTATATATTTATAAATATGTATAGCCCAACAATTTTTAGTTTTTTATACATTTGTTTTCATACATCACTATTTTGAAAGAATTTAAATCAATGTAATAGTACGGACTTAGTCTTTGTTAGTAACTTTTCGTGACCCCATGGATCCCAAAAAAACGTCTTTTAAAGCTCATTAATATCAAAACTTGAAGGTCTATACTAATTTATAAAAATCATTCTTTTCTGGATCACACAAACATTAAAAGGAATAAGAAAGCATATAGTTTATTCCAAAGTGCCGCCTGTCCATTTGTATTTTGGAAAGTAACAGCTTATGTCCCCTGCATACTGTTAAGAAAGGTTCCCAACTGCAGCCTTTTTAAGCTTACTCATAAAAAATGGATATTAGTCACAACATGTGCAATATATCAGTGTTCGTTGATCGATTGAATCCTCAGTTTCTAAAGCCACTGGTATATAGGAACCTCTGCTGAGTAACTAAAAATTGTAGAACTTATGGGAAGAGAAAACAGTAATTCATATCTGTAGTCTTATATTATATATCCACTGCTTACTCAGTAAGTGTAAGTGTAACTTACTAAGTAAATTTCAGTTACCACACAGAGAGCTTCCGTGCTATTTAACTTACTTAAAAATAAAGCAAGAAAATTTAAACCAAAAATATCAATTGCAACCCTCCAAAATATATTTTCTGCAAGAGAAATTATGAAGTTTGAAATATTTGTCATATGTTTTATATATGCTATAAAATGTAAACGAAAAACAGCTGAACTCTAAACAAACATACTGAGAAAGTGAGTATTTGAAAAAATATTTGTTTTTATTAATTTAATATGTAATAGTTTTTTAAAATATATATATACACTAGCTGACCCGGTGAACGTTGTTTCCCCTTGCAATTAATTTTCCTGGCGTTCGTTGCGTTGCTCTTGACTTTCATTAGCACGTGTAATTGTATCCTGGTTTCTTACATCTTCATTGTTTTCTGCCAATCTATTTAACCGACGGTTCTGGAGTAATTGTGAATTCCGAGTCCGTCGACCAATATTTCCTCCTCGTCCATGAAGACGTGGCATTGTTTTTTGTACGATATTTATATTTTTATATATATAATTTTTCTTTTTTGTTTGTTGAATTTTTGAATTCGCTGGATTTACCAGGAATACCACCACATAACTTAAGATTAAAAATTGGCTCACCTATAATTATGCTGCGGAATTTAAATGCACTTAAGCTATGCAACGTCAGTTTTACAATTCATTTTAGAGATTTTAAAGTTTTTAAACAAATCAAAGTAAGCATGAATAAATTTTAAATTTTTAATATAAATGTATATGGATACCAAAAAATAAAAAATTGATTAAAAAGACATTATCCAGTGGGCCAAATTGTGAATCTAAACCTTCCTTGAATTCACTTGAACACACACAAAAAATTTCATCAAAATCGGTTCAGCCGTTTAGGAGGAGTTCACTGTCAACACACGTACAGAAGAATTATATATATAAGATATATAAATGATTTAATGTAACAATTATATATTTAATTTCTTGTGTGACGCATTGTTGAGTAAAATTTTTCTAAAGAATCAAAAGCTCTCTTAAAACTTTCAAAGAACTTTCGGACACAAATAAGATCTTTCACATGCAATAAGTAACATATGCCAATGGAAACGACAACGTTTTAAGGTTACTTAAATGACTTACTAAGTAAGCAGTAGAAACATAGTATTAGAGTATTATTTAAAACGAGTGGAATCAAAATTGAAGATTAAAGAAGTTTAAATATTAGCACTTTAA